TCTACAGGAGGAGGCGGGAGAACCACGTGCCTCATTTTAGTCTATCTTTATGATCACTCGAGCAGAGTTAAGCAAGGGTTAAAGGCGAAAAATTCCTTATGTAGATGAGGCACTCCATTGGGGACTCTGGCAGCAGCTAACCCAGCCTGACCTCAGCAGCTCTTGTCTTTTTCTTTTTACATTTTTACATTTTCATCATGGCCGACAAGAGTAGAGTTGAAAACCTCTGTGAAACATCTGGAAAAGCTATGTGGATCGGAGGGAGGGGGAGGAATTCAAAATTAATGTAATTTGTAAGTAATTGTATTATTGTAAGTAATTTGAGTGCCGGGGTGGCAGGGCGGCTTTTGCCCGCTTGCCTCACCAGCCATAAACCTCACCGCACGTCACTGGAAATAAGCTTCCCATGCTTCTCTTTTCCAGGATAGTATATTTAATTTCTCTGTTGTAGTAATCTTGCTCAGTGTGCACGGCTACACCCTGCATTGATTCAGACATACCTCACTTCCAGTGCATTTTATTTTTGGACTGAAAAAGTCAAAGGAAAGTTTTCTGGAAACAAGAATAGGAGAGTCTAAAATACTTATACTTGCAATCAGGCAGGCAGGTTAGACTAATAACCGGACCAGTGTTTCTCAACCTCAACAACTTTAAGATATGTGACTACTCCCAGAATTCTCCAGCAAGTATATTGGCTGGGGAATTTAAGGAGTTGAAGCCATACTTATTAAAGTTGCTAAGGTTGAAAAATGCTGATCTAGATGAAACAAGCGAAGAGGCAGCATGAACACATTCAGCAAAACAGATAAACTTGCTTTACAATCCCTGTTGTGTAGATGCAACCGTAGGAAACTTTTAATGAAAAGTGATGCATTTTGACAAATGAAGCAAACATTCACTTACTTTTAATGAAGCACATAGTGCGATACACGCCAGGGAAGGAATGGTATTAAGAGTAATAGACCATGATTGTGATATGTCATTTACTCCGTCCTGCATGGATATCTGCCCATTTAAATGAAAAAAAAAATGTGGACACCATTCAGGATTTTTTGTATATTGGTGGTAAAGAGAAAAAGTTGTGAAGCCAAGGTGCTTCCTTTTCCTTAAAGCACACAAACATGGTGCATATAAATATTGGGAGTGTTGCTCATGTGTATTGAGTTTATCCTAACCTCTTTCTGTTTTCCTTTTACAGAACAGGGTGGTTCACCAGAACCCAGGAGAACGTAATTATCATATCTTCTATGCATTATTAGCTGGTGTCAGCGGGGAACAAAGAGGTAATAGTACTTCCCAAAGGTCCTCATTGCTATGCAGTGGATGCAATTTAAACTGGAAGTGCTAACCTATAAAGCCCTATACAAATGATCTACAGGTCCGCATTCTCCCACTGGAACCAGTTGAATTCTATTTGGAAGAAACCATTGGGGAGGGGGTTCAGTGCTGCTGTTTTTGAATGACAGTACTGGTCTTTTAGAACAGCTTCCCAGGGGCTACCCAGTTGGCACCCACCCTAATTGCCTTCCGGAAGTATTTCAAAACTGAGAGGCTTTTTAGGGCTTTGGGCCATCTCTATTGGTAACCAGCCAGTGGTGGGTTCCAGGGCCCGGTGTCCACCACATGAATGCATGCAGCGGGCGTGCGCACACGCACAGTGCATGATGCATCCTTACCTCTTGTGATGCCTCCGTGGCGCTCCAGCTGCTCAGTGGAGCATTGCGCAGGTGCTGTGCACTCCGTGTACATGTGCGGAAGCGCCGAAGAGCTCAAATACAGGTAAGGAGCTCGGGCGGAGTGGGCAGGCCCTCCGGAGCACTGTACCAGAACAGTACCCGGTGCTCCGGGCAGGCACCGGTACATCCGTATCAGGGCATACCACCTGCAACCCACCACTGTAACCAGTGTAGGGCTTACAGCATTGGTCCTCCACCAATTGCATTAGTATATCAAAACTGAGCAGTGACCAAAGTTCTCAAAATATCCCCATGTCAGTCATATTCTGTCCATTGACTAGGACGTGCCATTTCAAGCAGCTGTTACTAGAGATAATATGTTTAGGTATGCAAATCAAGGGACCAGACAAGATACTGTTACTACTCAGAAAGCGTCACAGACTGGCTGAATGTTTTCTGTATTCTGCTATTGGCTAGGAAAGGCAGAACTGATTGGCCAGTTCTCTGTGAATCCTATAGACTCACCAATGTATAATCAGGTCTGATTATAGCATCTTGATGTCAGCAAATATAGCAACCAAGATCAATCCTTGCTGGGTTTTTAAGCGGAATTAGAAAAATAGAGAAAATGAAACTTAATTTATGTACCCTGGCCTTCTAGTCACTTGCAGTTCATTACTTCTTGCTTTGAATTTCCGTAAACTGGCTATCTTGCAGAGTGATTCCCCTCCTCCCCAGAATTTCCTTCTTTTTCTGAAAAAGATGGAATGGGTCTGTAAATTACAGTAATCTGCTATATCTTCTCTGTTACCTTTTTCTCCTATTGCTTTGCTCCATTTTTATAAATACGTTCAGATAAATGTATTGGAAAGCCTGTTTCTATCTTAATATGCTACATTAGGCTTAGCTGTAGATTTACAGGAAAAACAACAGTGTTGCTTCAGGAAGAGGAAAATACTAGAATTATTTGTGGGCTTACATTAGAATTCATGTAATGGATGAAATTTCCCAGTTAGGTTGATAGATCTCAAAGTTCATGACCAAGTCTCATGTCCCAGCATTATTTGTGGATATGCCTCAAACACATGTCAAATGTAGAGTACTGTGGAAATCAGGCTGAAATTATTATTGTAATAAATATTGATGGGAAAATAGCATTGGGAACACATCTGATTCTTCCTCTGGTCAGTCTCTGATAGAGATGCTATTGACACAAAAATCAGGAGTTATTGCAGATTTCCAGCTGTATTTTCTAGCATGCCAATAAGTAGGTTTAGAGATGTTTTCCAATTAAGTGCCTGGAAAATTTTGTAGCCTATGAAATAGAGGTTCAGGCAGTATTCTCATTCTGAAGGCAAAGCAGCCATTTTTAAATGAAAGCAGCTTCACTGAATCACATGTTGAATTGAGCAAATGCAGCCAGAATAGACGCATAAATCCTTTATTTACTACAAATATTTTTCACTCAAAATTCATCCTTTTTTCAACTGAATTTACCAGCCCAGGAAAAAAAATGTACTGAAGATGCTGTTCTCCCAAGGCTGCTATTCATTAAAAGAAACCAAAGAAAACTATTTGTCTCACTTTTCTGCATTTATATGTAACAATGCTTTCCCCATAAGCAGAATCCTGTCAATTCTTTTGCTCAGAGGAACACTTTAACTGATGGACTGATTTTGTGCCATTAAATCCGTGTTGACTTTTAGGGACCATATGAGTGGATTATCCCCAGGAGTGGAACACCTGAGCACCCTCTACTCTGTACATTAGTTTTATTTCCCTGCAGACAAGATATTTATTTTGGCAGTGCTGGTCATGCAGGGTTAACCAGTCTACTGTTTTGAATGTTTTGTTTCATCCTGCAGAATTAAACTGGGCATGTTTATATGTGCCACTTTTGGGATCAGAACATGAAGAAAAAGGCTGCTTAATGTGTGCCTTTGGCTCACATTCGCTGGTCTCCTTTCTCTATATTCATTGCATTTGTTTCTTTTCTCTGTCCTTCTGTTCTGGTCCTTAACTGTTTTATTTCTCCTTCTGGGAGCTGCTTTTTTATAGAAGGATTCCACTTGCTGGAACCCAAGAACTATCGTTACCTCAACCAGTCTGGCTGTATAATCAATGAGGACCTGGATGACCGAGAGATGTTCAGCAAAGTTATGGTGAGTTTCTTCCTTGAATCTGGGCAAAATTTGATGGATGGATTTCTCTGGTCCCCCCAACCCCTGCCTGTTTAAAAGAAAAATGTGCCAGTTGCTTCTTTGCATGAAGGCAGATTGTTTGGGGGGAGCAAAATGCCCACAGGCCAAGAGGGTTTTGCACTCTTGAATGTTGTGCCTGATAATGACATGCATTGTTTAATGACAATTAGAGTCTATTTAGACTGAAGTAATGTAATTTGAAGACAAAATCTCATCTTCCCACCAGTATTTTGTCTTTCTGTTCCTTGAATGCCTGCTTTATCATGCCTGTTCTTTTTACTTGGAGGAAATATCTGAGGGAATCATTTAGTCTGCAAAAATCTTTATACTATTTTTCAAGGTGGAGAAAGTAAGAGATAAAATAATAAGGCATTTATTATTTATAGAGTTTTTTAAAAGCAAAGTCCTGCACAGAAGCTAAATAACAAAAGTGGGCAATGGAGTAGGACAAGAAACAGGCATACAAAGGGAGGGATTAGGAGGGAATTATCCTAATCAAGTGCCTCAGAAAATAAGTGGATCTTATTACAATTCCTTTGCAGATCTAAAAACCATTAAGTCTGAATCCTCCACTTAATAAAATACAGTTATGATCAGTTTCTATTGTAGTTATTATTCCTGTATGTGGTTTAGTAAATCTGTAGAAGCTCAAGTATTTATTATATCCAGAAAAAAAATCAGGAATACTGGAATCCCAAAACGTGAAGCATCATTGCTAGCATGGTGCTTTTGTTAAAAAAAGAAAACATTAGCTGAATAAATTGAGATCAGATTATAATATTTATGGTATGTTGCAGCCTGACAAATATTGATTAACTGCCTGCTGCCTGTGTAACTCAAAAACGTTGAAAATAAATTTCCGTTTAAGAAAAAAGGGGGAATAACGGGATAAAGTTTTGACAGATATTTTTCCTCCTTTTTCCTTTATTCTACGGATAATTTCAAATGTATTATTCTGGCAGTTTGTTGACAAGAATTAAAGTATTATTAAAGGAAGCAAGTTGTATGTTGACCAATACTGCATTAATTACTATTTGGCCATAAAACTTGGAAATCAATCGGTAACCCTATGTATCGTGAGCTGCTAATTCCAGGATCATATTATAACTTATCTTTGCTCTTTGCAAGAAACATAAAAGTTGCAATAAGCATTTAGGTACATGTGAAGGAGAACTATGATTCTTTTTGTAATTATTGAAATATTATGGTTCCATTCCACATGATTGAGCATTACACAGCATTTTCCTTAAACCTCTTGGAAGTAAATTTCACTACATACTGTAGTGCTCCATCCTACTAAGTGGGTTTGGGTATCTAACTTTAATTTATAACATCATTACAGTTAATGTACAGAGAACATCGTTACAGAGGATGTACAGAGAACTTCCTTAACACATTATGGAAAAGACGAATGTATTAGCATAGCTTTTGAATTATCATCTTGAGACCCGAATAAGAGCCATTATTCCAAGCAAAACCTTTATCCTGATTCCTCCTTCATGGAATTTGTTTTTCCAGTGCTACTTTGCATAATCTTTTAAAAACACAATAGTGTCGAGTAACTGGAAGCACTAGTTATCTATCTGTACAGAAACACCTGGCTTCTTGAAAGTATCATAATGATTCTGAATGTGTTTTGAACAGACTGCATTTGAAGTCATGGGATTCAGTTCTGAAGAGATCAGAGACATCTTCAAACTTATATCTGGCATTCTACAACTTGGAAACATTGAGTTCATGACTGCTGGAGGAGCTCAGATTACCACAAAAACTGGTACGTGATGCTTAACTGGAATCTGCTGTTTCCTCATGGTTGTGGTGCATGCCAATAATTAAGCAAGTAGGTTATTGTGGCCTTTTTATATTTTTCTGCATTGCTGACAGGTAAATAGATTCCCAGGAATACAACTATTTTCCAGTGCAACACAATTTAAAAAACAAATTCCAAGTTGGTTTATGAAAAGGTTTATGTATGTATCTTGCCTTTGTGGTGTTGCCTAACCAATCTGATGTTAAATGTGCTTCTCTGTCTCAATAGATCAATGTTTTATTTCCATTTCGTTGCTTAACAAATGAATAAAGTATTTTAGCACCAAAGTGGAAAAGAAGGGTTTTTTCTTTAAGTGTATATATTATAGGGAGCAACTTTTTTTCCCTTTTGAAGTGCCAAGTAACGTTACTTTGGGTTTTCCACCTTGAGGACCAAGGAACTCTCAATGAAATTTTGGGAGAATAAATATCTCAGAGCTGTTGTCACATACTAATAAAATGTTCTTGGCATAAGATCTTCACTGTTGCTGCTTAGTTTCCACTTTGTGAAGAAGTTTGCGTAACGTATGCTTCCTATCAGAAAGGGAAGTCACATCTTTATTCTCAATTCTCAATTGTTTTGTCTCCTAGTGCTGCATAATGTCAGTGAACTGCTTGGCTTGGATACCTTCCAGCTGTCTGAGGTACTTACTCAAAGGTCCATGTTTCTACGTGGGGAAGAAATTAGCTCTCCCCTCACTGTGGAGCAGGTGAGTTAGTCATTAGCTGCTTTGCAGTTTATATTTGCTATGAAGGGACATTGTCCCTGGATGGTATCATTCCCATGAGTATTAAAGGGAAACATCACTTGAGGGAGGCCTTGAGTTGATGATATATTACTTTTTCCCAGAAGAGAAGGATTCCTGGAATATTCTTAGTGCTTCAGGGCTTAAGAATAAGCCTGGGTAATAAAGGCAGGTATTGGAATGGAAGAGAGAATGGGTGGATCAGCTTTGTTAACATAACCATTGCTATGGATGTTCTACAATGTAAGCAAGGGCATGTGGAACAATATTTATGAAAAGAAATAATGGATGGATTTTAGAGAACTCACTCCTGCAAACTATACTTGTAAAAAGTCTTTTTGAAGCCTATTTATACTAGAAAATATAAAAACATGTAAATAGAAGAGTTCTGCTAATGTTCACTAGCTTTCCTCTAAAGCAGCGGGACCTCAATGCTGTTGCTTGCTTTCATCTAGAAAACTGCCTGTTAACACACAGCATGGCAATCTTTGAGACAGACCACTGCCTTGTGGCTCTAGTATTTGTGATGCTCCAGGTTGCATGAAATGGAACAGAGAAGTTCAACAGATTATGTATATGTTGTAAATTCTAAAGTTGGGATGCCGAACCTATGGCAACGCGATGCGTTGCCCTGTCAGCTGGCCAGTGCGCATGCATTCAGCCTTTTTTAAAGCCATTTTTCACCTCCCCAGGCTGCAGAGGCTTTATAGGAGCCCGGGGAAGGTGAAAAGAGCCTCCCCACCCCCAAAAGGCCCTCTGGAGGTTTCAGGAGCTTCCCTAAAGCCTCTGGAGCGCAAAAAACAGGCCCTATGGGCAAACCGAAGGTTTGGGAAGTGACTTCCGGTTTGCTTACGTAGTTGGTTTAAGCCCTCTGGAGGCTTCAGGGACTTTCAGGAGGCTTCCCTGAAGCTTCCGGAGGGTAAAAAAATGACTCTACGAGCAAACCGGAAGTCACTTCCCAAACCTTCGGTTTGCCCATAGGGCCTGTTTTTTGCGCTCCAGAGGCTTTAGGGAAGCTCCTGAAACCTCCAGAGGGCCTTTTGGGGGTG